CCATTGATGCTGAATGAAGGGTCTTGTTATAACAGAATATTCTCGGTGGGGCAGAGGTGCTGGAGGGAGAGGCTGATGTGGTTAAGTAAAGACTTGCCAAGGGAAATTGCCTGAATAGAAGCACCTTTGCTTTGCATTATTCAAGAGCAGGTTCAAAGCCAATGGCACAGCAGAGCTCCAGGGAGAGCCTGCCTGCCCCGGGGGCTGCTTACAAGTGCACCTCCGGGCAAGTGGGGCCATGGAGTGTTTGATAGCATATGTGTCTCTGTTAGGCTCTCTGGTGTGGCAGGAAGGCACTTGGGACAGTGACGATCTGTCCTCTGTCTCCACCAACATCAGTGAAATAACATGTCTGTAGGGATTGAAATTTAATATTAAACATAGTGATTTGAAATAGTAATACGTAATGGTTACTCGAAGGAGGCAGGCTAAATCTGAAGCCACTCAGACCTGCATGAAAGACATTCCTCTATCTGTCAAAAATGTACTAAAATTTAAAAAAAGACACTAATGAACTCATCTACAAAACAGAAACAGACTCACATAGTATACAATCTTATGGTTACCGTGCGGAAAGAGGGTGGAAAGGGATAAATTGAGAATTGGAAATTTGCAGATATTAGCTACTGTATAAAAAAATAGAGGACCTAAACAAGCAACTCTCCAGTGAAGACATACAAATGGCCAATAGGCTCATGAAAAAATGCTCAGTATCACTAATTATCAGAGAAATGCAAATCAGAACTACAGTGAGGTATCCCCTCACACCAGTCAGAATGGCCATCATTCAAAAGTCCACAAATGACAAATGCTGGAGAGGCTGTGGAGAAAGGGGAACCTTCCTACACTGCTGGTGGGAATGCAGGTTGGTGCAGACACTGTGGAAAACAGTAGGGAGATTCCTCAAAAGACTAAAAATACACTTACCATATGATCCAGCAATCCCACTCCTGTACATATATCCAGAAGGAACCTTAATTCAAAAAAGACACCTGCACCCCAATGTTCACAGCAGCACTATTTACAATAGCCAAGACATGGAAACAGCCTAAATGTCCATCAACAGGTGACTGGATAAAAAAGCTGTGGTATATTTATACAATGGAATACTATTCAGCCATAAAACTGACAGCATAATGCCATTTGCAGCAACATGAATGTACCTGGAGAATGTCATTCTAAGTGAAGTAAGCCAGAAAGAGAAAGAAAAATACCATATGAAACCACTTACAGGTAGAATA